TAGATTCTACGGATTAAAAAAGGAACAAGACGAGTTGTTTAGCTGCAAGCGATTTGTTGTAAATAAATAAAAAAATGCATTATAAAATATTCAATCTGTTTTGCAGTAATTTTTTTTGATGTGTCCTTAATTTTATTATAGAGAAACGATTTTATGAGGATGTATAACATGTCAATAAAATATTTTAATTATGAAATTTTGCGTCAATTTGAATAAATATAAAATTTTATCACTAATTAATATTAGGTAGGACTGCATTAAATAATACAACCAAATGATTAACATACGTTAAGGATTAGGTAAATAAATATATAATTATTAATTCGCATACCGCATGTTTATTTAATATGGTGTCTAATCTTTACTTTGTTTTCAAACACCGTCTGATATAATTGCTAAAGTGTTTATTTATTATGTGAATATATTTATGTATTTATACTCGAACCATGCAGGTAATAAAAACAAGAGATATGAACACATAGGAAGCTTTGAATACTTATGATAATAATCTGGAAAATGATATACTAGTTATTTTATTATATTACAACACTTTAAATCCCCCTAAAGAAATAAAATATTTATTGAGTGCATTTCAACAACCTTTTCCAAATTCCCAAACATTCGAAGATGCCTTAATGTTCAGTGTGAAATTTTTCGTGCTAATTAACCGGTTTCCAACAGAGAAAACCTTGAGCATAATATTTCAATAACAATTCATTCGTAAATCTAATACACGAGCGTGGGCCCACGATCTATACCAGGTAAACCGAAAAAAAAAACCCAATCGCATACCTGTTGCAGATTCATGCTAGAAAATCGCGTCGAAATTTCAAAATTCCATCGAAACCGAGCGACAATCCGGTGCCGTCGATGCCGCTCCGGGCCTCCGATCCTCCATGATACAGCCCGGGAATTCGATCAATCCCTTCGACTCGACGCGAAACTATGATAAATCTCCAAACGGGACGCGCTTATCGTCAAAATTTTCAGTTGCGGAAAACGCGATCGTATCGGGCGGAAAATCGACGCGCGAACGCTGTGCACCAGGTCCGGAACATCGAAAACGACTGATTGCGATTGCGACTACGATTCAGCGGCACGTCGGCGGCAACGTCGCCGAGTGGAAGAGTGCCATGGACGCGAGAGCGAAGTGGGACGTGGTGAGCCCGCTCTCCTTCGGACTTTTCTTTCCTAGATTTCTCGAGAAATAAACAACAGCCCATTTCACCCGATCGATACCTAGATTTTCAATCATTTTAATAATGCAGTGAGGACCAAAAGTCCTTCGCCTCCCCCTTTAACTTTTTAATGGTAAAAGCTTTTGTCGCGCAATTTGGGATGATTAAAGTGGAGTAAAAATACTGTTTTTGACGAAAAAATGACAGTTGAAACTTTCAAAATGACAGTTAGGCGCCATTTTGAATCTTTTTTTTCTTATGGAAAGGGGGGTCAAGTGACACCTCGTTTTAAAGGTAATTTCATTCTTAAGTCAATCCCAAAATTTGAAAACTTAATAACCCGTATTCACGTTAAGACCAATTTAGTTTTAACCCCCGGGCATATTGATACATTTAAGAATTAATTCTGAACGTACTATAAAATGTGTCAATTAATTGTTGCTATGGTTTCTTGGCTCTGACATTTATTTGTCAAATTTAAAGTTGATGAAAGTGACAATGGCTCGTCCTTTAAACGAAAAAACTAAAATAGTCAAAAAATAGTATTTTTACTTCAATATAAACACCCCAAATTGCGCGACAAAAGCTCTTACCATTCAAAAGTTAAATAGGGAGGGCGACGGACTTTTGGTCCTCACTGTATAATTTTGTTATACATTGTTACAGATCGACAGGAATAGCTGAAGACGCGAGAGTTTGATGCGCAATGACTTCTATATACCAAGACTGGTTACAGGAAAACCATTTAAATCACATTTTCTGATGTACATTAGGTAATTACATTTCTGCAAATATTGATTTAGAAATAAACTTTCTCGACTGTTCCTTCATTTGCCTTTATGGTAGGTGCTTAAATAAGTACGTCTGTAATATACGCCTAGAATATAATTATTGTAGGTAATTTTCAATTTTTCTTTCCCATTACGACTCGCAGGTGATAGATGATCATTGCGTTCTGGCTATGCCCATAAACACGTTTGTAAAACGACAATAAAATGGAAACGCAAATACCTACTAATCGAGTCGATTGCTTTTACGAGGGGCGAGTGGAAACTACATTTAAGTATTTACGAAGCAAAATGCGAAAATTAATTTTTATAAGCACATTACACATTGTTTCTTAGTCGATTAGATCGATGTAAACACTTACATTTATTTTCTAAAAATATTGATATGGCTACATCTATTGAAGATTTTGAATACATTTTTCACGCGACCCTGGTATTATTATTATTATGTAGCCTACGGCGTTTGTTTGGTTTCCTTTCTGCGACTCTATAATGCCGTTCGAAAACGGTCAAACGAAAGGAAAGGAAATGATGTGCCCTGTGTTTGAATAACGTGATCGTATACGAGGTGTTTGCAATTCGAAAACTAGCCTGTTCGAACTAACGCTTCCACTTTTTTTTCCACGGCTTGTTTTACCCTATTCGTATACGAGTTAGCAAGTATGTAATATCGATTCTCGACTCTTTGTCGAAGATGTAAGAGAAGAAATTCAAGTTCAAAAGGTACATCAAAAATTTTACGAGAAATTAAAGTTTTGAAAGGAAATTGCGATGCTTTTCGACATTACTTTTCTTACGGTTTTCGGCTCTGAGACCTCAAGAGGTGAATTTACGAGGAACGCGAACGCCAATAAAAGGACAAAAAAATATACTTTCCTGCTACTATCGTAAGTAATTTTGAGCGACTTTTCAAACAGAGTCGTATCGTTTGTAAATATATTATATTCATCCTATCGCGTTTACAAAATATGTTAAATTTAAAAGAAAAAAAATAGCCCTGTAAATACATTTGCATTTTTGACTACTTCCACTATGAATACCTACATTGCTAAAACTATTTAATAAATTATTACCAAACGTTCCACCGCTGGTTAGTTATATGGTATACCATATACCTAAATAAAATATAGGCGAATAAAAAATAGGCCGTCCGTGCAAGGCTGCAGGAAAATTTATTGGGCTATTTGTGCGACTTGCACTATTGCAATTTTGGCCGTCGTAAAAGAAATTTTCCTAAGAAATTGAAAATGTTATAGACGAGGTAAAAGATTTCGGGATCGCCAATTGGCTACTTCTTTATAATTTTTTTTGTTAAATGAACTTTATAGCACTTCGGAAGCGGTTGTGGTATGACTGATGACGTGCGACACATACTAAAATATTTGCTTGTTCCACGCTAAACAGACTGGAAATGATTTAATACTCCATTATTCTGCTCTATTAGAATGGTGTTAAAGCAATACCAGCAGCGACTTTTTAAATGTATCAATGGAAAGGTAATTGTCACTTTACCTTTAAGAATGGTACATTAAGAAATATTGTATTCAATTTACTTATACAAATGTAGAAACTGATTGAAAATTAATTCAGTTTAATCAATTAAATTTACATTACGTAACAAAGAAATATTAAAAATTATACCTACATCATTAAAACTATAAAAACAACGTAAATAATTAGTTAATAAACAATTTTTCACCTTCACTTGGACCAAAAGCAGTATAAATAATCTTAAAAAAAGGGTTTCAGGAATAAAATTTGTTTATACAGCGTTTCCTACAAAATCAATTAAACGCGACTTAATTAAGTAATTGGACAAAAAGCGTTTAAAATTTATTCCAAACTAATCACATTTAAACGTATAAAGTACGGAAAATATAAATAAAACGTGCGTTGATTAAATTGGTTATTAATTATTCAACAAACATGAGAAATCCACAAACCACTTAATTACTGACATGGATTAATTAACATAAACAGATATTCCTTGTTTTATTGGGAAACCAGTACGTAGGCAACACATTCTACAACATTTAATGAGTGCTAGAGCATGTAATTTTTCGTGTTATTAAATTTTACATAAAGGTATTTCTTTCATTTTATTAAAGTAAAAAATATAGATTAGTAATAATATTTGTACCATTAAATGAATGGCAGTTTAAAATAAGCTTTCTTGGTTCACAATCAGTAATATTATAAGTTGTAACATTAAACGTGACATATTTGCTGTATTTTAGTAACATTTTATCAAACGTGAATCGTTTATTTAAAAGTGCTGGGTAAAACAAAATGGTAATGAGGCAAGTAGATATCTAGTAAAAAAAACATTTTTATAAAGTATAAGTGAACCTTATGTTCCATTTCTACAGTATATTATCATGTGTATTTTATTGTCTTGATTATTTTAATATAAATCATGGCTTAATTTGCAATTAAAAGTTTAAAAAACCAACCAAAAATTCTTTTAAAAAATATATTTTTTGATGTTCAATTGAATATTTGCAAAAATGCATCTAGGAACGTTGTATTAATCAGATTTATAGAATAATCGCAGAATATGATACGATCATAATCATATTTCTCAATCAAAAACAACTTTTACTACCTTACTTTAATACGTATTGGTACTTTTGTTTTCTTTTAATAAAATGACGTACTTACCCGCAAAACAATGGATTCAATTACGCTACACTTATTGCGAAATAAATTTTTTATCGTCAACGATTTTTAATCCTTGCTTAAAATATCTTTTACTCATATAGTACATACGAATTTATTTAACAAAAAGGAAAAATGATAAAATTTAATTTTACAATCGACTGAATTCGCAAAAAAATTATTGTGAATTTTACGATCAAATTGAATTTATCAAATACGTCGAATTCACAAGGTGAAAAATTTCATATTTTACTTCCCTTTCTCAAATGCTTTAATTTACACCTTCCATACTTCTTGGAGAATTGATATTATTTTAACAAATCTGCACTTCATCTACCCATAATGAACAAAAATAAATCAATTTTAATCCACTTACCCTATCGGTTATTCTCTCCTCGACCTTGCCCCTCTTCAACCCCCTGGCTCGAATGACTTTCCCCGGCCCATCGAAATCGTCCATCGTTCACGTTTCTTTCGCCGATCCGAAAAATTTCCCACGAATACAAAAAATTCCCACGCCGCGAACTCGACTCTTATTTTCCCGCCGGCGATTTTCGCGACATGCTAAACGCGACAGATCCGATTTCGGAAATCCGCCGGGCGCGTTCTCAAAATCCCGCACCTCCGGCACATCTCCGTCGATCGATTGACGCCGAGATCACCATCGTCTCTGCAACAAACGTATAAAGAATACATTACAGATAATTAGTAACAATAAAAAAAATGGGACGGACAACGAGCGGGTCATTATCTTGTATGTATTGTATTGATAAAATAGCGCTGATGCGTTAAAAGAGAGTCATTTTTATGCTAGTAATAATAGTTCGTAATGAATCGCAACAGATCAACTCAAACTATCAATTTTCGCTCATTGTTTTATTATTTATTTACAGGATGATTCATATTATTATTTAATAATTCTCAGAAGTAAAATGAAAATGGCAATAATTCAATAATTCAGGGTGTCCCAGATAGTGTAGAAAAATGCCACCCAGTACAAAATAGACTATTATAAAAATAACTGGCTCTTCACAAACGCTTCAAGATTAAAAAAAATACCTCCAAACCGCGTTAGTTCTTCGAGTGGCACTCAACTAATGAAAAACAAATAATGCAGAATGCAAAAGAAATCGGAACAATATCGAAAATATTTTCACGCCAGACCGTCACCGATCAATTCACGTCGTTAGCGAATTATTTTTTGCTCTCATTAACGGGCCCCGTTTAGACGTTAATTTTACGCTAAATCGAACAAACGCTCGTCGGCTCATTACCGACCGCTTTGAGAATGCAATTTTATCGAAACAGATTCGAGAAAATGGATACAAAAACGCGTCTAATGCGTTTAGTTGGACTTACAAGTTCTCCGGAATCAACGCGTTTGCAAGAACGAGTCGTAAACGAGTCGTTAGCTATAACAAGACCTTTAGAAAGTGATGGGTAGCCAATTAATAGATTAGTTAATAAATTATTTTATCGAATGAAAAGTTGGTAATGGTTTCGGCCATCTGTTCGACGAAACAATCTAGCGTGACACAATCATGCCGGTAATTCGATATCAAAACGTTTCAAATAAGTAATTGAACTCTCCCGAGTTTTAAAAGAAGCCGAACACCCGGTGTATTAAAGCGATAGTTTCTTGACCTATGCTACATAATCGCTCATGTGGTTCGATTTTATTTGTTTATTAAAGTGCAGTATAGCGGAGTTTGGTAGCATTTATTTATTTTTTCAAAATTAACTCCAAAAGCTGAATCTACATATCTCAGGATGAATCTACTCTGAATTTATTTCATCTGAATTTACTCTACTCTTGTACAAATATCAATGGAGAACAATGAAAAAAATTTACAGTTTTAAGTTTATGCTAAATAACAGCAATATGCCCAATTCACTCTCCGACTCCCGACGAAAATAATAGCGTTTATACCGTTATTACCGCATCGAGATTACTCACACACAATGAGATTTCTTTTCGTACAGTCGAGACGAAAACGGCCCGTGACATTTCCGAAGAAATTTCAACGATTCTAACTGTGCATCTATTTTAAATAAAATCGTCTCGAAAATATGCTCACTTCTCGACGCATCGTTAGACGAACTTTCAAGGCTGTAGGTACAGATGCAAAGACATCCTTACTTTTTTATTAAGAAAAAAGCCTTGTATAATTCAGTGTGAATACTAATCCTATTTTATCAATAAAGGGAACGTTCAACTTTCATATCATATTAATGAAATTAATGTATGCAATTTGTCGAATTCGAATTCTACCTTTTCCAAAATTCATGACCGGCCGGCACGTCGGCATAATTATTCAAATGATCAACGTCGAAATGATTAACATTAACGGCGAAAATTTCTAATATATCGCCGGACGTTTTGAGGTAAACAACTTAGAAAACGGACGAACTTAACGGGTTCTCTTTTCGTTCGCCACGAAATAAATCCCGAGAAATTGCTTACTTATTACGTTAACTCGGCCGTTAAAGTGCTCGCCCGTCGACCTGTTAATTAAAAACAGCTTAATGGTCTGTTACTGTAATAGTTTCGTCGTGAGAAAATTGCACAAAAAATACCAGTAAAAACCAATCAAACATTAATAATATTTAGATTGTAATGAACGACTGTAAATTGGACGCAAAAAGGGTTGCAAATTTTAATTCTATAGATAAATTGGGCGCAAAGTACCCACAGAAAATAAACACATTTCATATTGAAGATTGTTAATTAAAAAAAATCTACTCTATAACTTTACTCTACCTACTCTGATTCTGATTCCACTCTGATTCCTCTCTAAATCCACTCTGATTTCCTCTCTAAATCCACTCTGATTCCACTCTGAGTCTACCCTGATTCTACTCTCTCTGATTCCAATCTGAATCTACTCTGATTCCACTCTAACTATCGAATCTTGGGGAACTGAATCTACTATGAATCTACCGATTTTACTTTAAATCTACTCTGAAATAACTGATTCTATTTTAAATACAAAATCAACTGATTCTACTGTGAATCAACTTTAAATCTACTTTGAATCTAAATAAACTGATCCTACTCTCAATGAACTGACTCTATTCTGAATATATTTTACTCTATTCCTAATCTACTCTGATTCGACTGTAAATTTACGCAGGCTTATAAAAATACTGCAGTGCATAAAACAGTATTAGCCATAAAAATTATTACCCTAGATGGGATTCGATTTGAGTACCTATATCTACATCGGCAATTAATAAATCAAAATGCGATAAAAGGAAATGAAAATGGGCTAGGCCTCCGCATAAAACGCCTTTTACCCTAAGTGGCTTCGATTTCTTCTAGTTCGACCTCGATTTTTCGAGTGCACAATTATTAATAATAAGTTAGATATTTCCAATATGTCGTAAAAACCTTTTCAGCGAAAATAACCGTTCGAAATAATCGATTTCTGAATCACGACTCCAAGAAATTCGTATACAGCGATCGATAAACAAATCCAAAAAATGAAATTGTTGTTTTTAAACTGGAATTACGTTTATGTGTAAAGATAAAATCATTTATCTGAGTGGATGTTCACACAGAATTCTCTCTCAACTTAGAGTAAACTGAAATCGCCAAAGCTTTAAAAGGAAATCAAATACAAAAATAAATTCTATTTTTATTGCATTAATTTTAGAATAATTTAAACGATAAGATGCTTGTTTTTTTGTTTCCTTCGTTATGCGGTTGATAAAATAATTATTTTCGCTCAACAAGCAAAATTTATTTATCTACAAATTTTATAAAATTTATTTCCCCGCATACGAAATACATTTGTGGGTAAAAGCAAATAAATCCCCCCATTTGTCTGTAACTGCAACATGCAACATCAAGGTAGGGCTAGGGTTAGGGCCCTTATTTAATTACTTTTATCGATTTAATTCCATATCGTAAACAAACGGACAGTCACATTTTATTTACAAATTTATTTCACCACAACAATACTAAATTTCCTCTATCTTATCTGCATTGTGTATAAACCCACACCGTACAGGACACATACAATTTTACCAAAAAGTCAATTAATAATATTGTTACATTAACAACAAAGCGTATAAATGAAGTAATCGTTCTGCAATAACGAGGTCGTTGAATGTTTTAATCGTTTGAAATTGATTTTTTAAATTTGTTAACCTCACTAATTGCATTAGAATTTGACCTTATGGTTTTGAATTAAATCTATTGTTGTATTCAACGAGTATACTTACTGTAGACAGGGACGATCTGTTTATTCAATATATTCTAAACAAAACTACGTTTAATCGCACTCATTCGACAGAATTCACGCACAACACACACTAAATAAGAGATATCGCCATGTTGGATATTTGATTATGAACTGTGAATGTAAACAGTGTTGCCAAACCGTTTTGATTTTTGACATAACGTCTTTTCGACATGAAGAAATAATTTTAGATTTTTATGCATGAATTACATGAATATACATTTTTTATAAACATTTTGCTACTACTAACAACTTTAAAACCCTTTATTAATTAACACTACATCATAAATTATATAAATGTTCCAAAAATTTATACAATTTATTTTGGACAGAGGATTTTTTATGAATCTGGCAACGCGGCTTTGTATAGCAGCACTTGACAGCTGGTGAAAGAGAAATTTACGCAGGTAGATAGAAGAAAGGAACCGAAACTTGGAGGTTTCAGAACATCTACAGGTAAGCCCCGAGACCGTCTGGTGTACGTTAACGCCGACAATTTTATCTCATGAATGGTTAACATCCTCTAACGCGTAACTTTATTTATACAAAGCGGGGAATTTAAAAATAACAAGTAGGCTGGCGTACGTTTAATTAGTTACCACCGGTGTTGGACAATTGGTCAAGTGACGCCGCTTTTAATCCGTAAATTATATTTAATCTTGTAAAACTAAAGTTTCGATTGATTGATTAGTTAATCCAAATCGACGTTGTCTAAAGCGTCTTCTTTGGATGTTGTTAGTTTGGGCTTCATGGTGGATACGCCTGAAGGGTTGGATATTTCAACTTTGATTTCTTCAATGTCTTCATCGTCTTCTTCAGGAGGTATGACGGATTTTGCGTCGATTTCCCCAATTCCTAAACCTGGTTTAGGTTTAATTACAGATTGTTTTACGTCATTTTTGGCTAATAAACTCCAATTCTTTAACCACTCGGCTGCTTCTGGACTCGGGTTCTGTTTTATTTCCGGTTTAATAGGCTGTAGGAAATAAAATTAGTGTTATAGATTAGTTATTGTACGTTAGTATTACTTACTTTTTTCTGCGTTTCTTTCTTTTCTTCCTTGTTCGTTTTCTCCAATTTCTGCTGTTCGAGTTTCAAGCGTTTGATTTCTTGGTTTTGCGCGTATAATGTGTTTGCTAAATTTTCCAAAGTGCTTCGTTTATTAGCGGAATTATCTGTGCCTTGGTTGGCTAAAGGTCGCGTGTACATTTGCGGACCTAGTTCCACCAAAACTTGAAAATCTGCTCTGTCTCCCAATCGGAAACCCCATCCTAATCTCGAATCAGTTCCTATAAAAAAATCGAATAAACAATTTAATTTTCAATTGATTAATTAGGGTAAAATTACCTTTTTTTAATGTAGGAATATTCGAGTAGATAACTGATAACAACGATGGCAGTTCATCAGGAACGATGAAAGATTCGGTACCTGCAACAAAAGTTTCGTCATTTACTCCATCAGTTTTTTAAGTGTTACTACCACAGGCTAGATTTTTTATTTAACTTCCGACCTCGAAAAAATTACTCAATTAGGATTTATGTCGAACAAATAAACCTTTCCTAATTTCCAAGTGATGTCAAATTCTATTTTTAAATTAAACTCTAATCTTGTTAGTTTAAAAGCTAAAGTTACTTCATAAAAAAGTCGTTTGTTTCTGTTAGGTCAACACATAAAATGCATGTAGATAGTAAAGAGTTAATTTGTTAAAAATATTTATTCGAGAATACATTAGAATCTGCCGTTTTCTTTAACACTCTTTTTCTGCAATATATATGGAATTATTCGCTATAATTAGGCCAAATTACTTATCAAGGAACATAAGCAAACACACGTAATTAAATCATAATTCAAATTACCTAATGCGCAACACAATAACACAGTTACCGTTGAAAACACTGTCACTTTCATGTTCGTTTCCTTCCACTTTGTAATATCTTCGATCTGCGGACGATTTCACTTTCGGGCCCGACAAGACAAAAAAAAGCGATAGCTCCCCCCTGGGCGAAATGCCTTCGCCAATTCGTAATTATCCTCTAATTAGGTATTTTCTTGAAGGTATACGCGCGTAGCACCCGAAGACTTCGGACATCGAATTAGAATGGCGCGAATCGAGGCCGCAAATGTCGTGAACTTTCCCTTATTCTTGACTTTTGTCTTGTGCATATGGTGGATTTGAATACGTTCTTGACTATACAATCGAAACTACTTTCTTTTTTTTCTCAATAATCCAAAGGTTGCTAATTTTTTGCTAGGTCGATTGTGTGCTTGGTTGTGTGGGTGCGGGGATGAATCGAATTTTTCGATATATTATCTTTATAGCAATTTAATATACGAAAATCCACATTGTGGTTCAACAAGAGAACAAACAAATTTAAAGTGTAAATAAATTCGCTTATCTTAGATAGAGGATGTTGAGGAAGGGTAGAGTACTAAAGGATGTTACTGTGAGAATAAATAAAATTTATTTAATGAAGGATTTAATATGTGAGCTCATATTCTATTTTAATAGAAAATGTAATAAATCGAGCAAAGGGATATAGAATAAAGATCAATCATTTATTAGCTCTCTTTTGAGATTGGAGGGTTCATAGAATAAGAAGACATTCTAGCTGACAATCAGCAATAATTATTTTCCTATTAGTTTGCAATTTGAGCAAATTTTTATTGCTTTCCATTCGGTTAGAATTAGTCACTGCATTATAATTATATCTTAATTGGTTCAAAACTTAAGCAAAATGAGTATACAAACATTCCATACGACAATTTGTAGTCCGTAGAATGAGATTTAATATCGGTTCGTAGAAAAAATTGTATATGATTCTAGGTATTCTCCCCTTGAATTCGAGCATAGAGCTCCATCTAGGGAGCTTGAGAATGAAATATTTTATATGAGAAGAGATAACTGTAGTAAAATCGATACAAGAAGAGATATTTAGTTGCATATAAAGGATTTCTTTAGTTATTTAGATGAACATATTTTAAAGGTCATATAGATGTCTAAATTCCTGGTAATTTGAATTTTTTGTCTTTGATATTTTTGTTATGTTTACCAATTATAGAGAAATTTAACTATGGGGTGCTATAGCGTTAAATTTTGTTAGATATGTAGATATTTTTATTATCAAACCATACTTTTTATTTATAGTAATAGGAATTTTATTTACGCAATTGCTTCTATTGCTCCTATTCTCTACGCACCCATTCAAGTTTTTTTATTAATCTCTTCATTCATCTCTTCATTCTCTTTCCATCTCTATATTTTTCTCTATTTGTTTCTAGTTTTACGATATTTTCCGACTTTTTCACTCCTACTTTGTTTTTCCTAAATTAAATGAACCCCATTGTTACCGTAATCTCTCCCTTCTTCTTCCTACGCCAATTTTTCCAATTCAACAAATCGCAGGAACTAATAGGAAGGTAAATAAAAGCAATATTCCATAGTTGTTATATATTTTTATACATTTATATTTTTCGAAAATGTGAAGTGTGTGTTTGTGTAAGTTTATTTAAATATTTACAACAACGTCCAGAAAGAAAAATTACAGTCTATTCAATTAGGTACTATATTTCGCTATATACATCAATGAAAGTCGGGATGGTAGGGAGAACAAGATGTGATTGTGCGGTAAAAGTCGATATATCACTCGGAAAATGTACAGAAATATTTACAAATTTTTACACGAATAAGATACATGCCACAAAGAAAAATATCAAAATCCGGCTCGAAGGACCACGAACCAAAAAAACAATACATTCATCGCGCGCCGATCTTCTTCCTGATAACAAATCAAGTGACGTTGATCTCCTCGTCGCTGTCGTTCGAGCTCTCGTACTCGACGCTCTCGTATATCTGGTAATTGACGGGTTGGGAGCCGGAGGCGTCGCGCTGGAGGTCAGCGGGCGAGCCGACGGGCGAGAGGTCCTGCACGTCGCTCAGGTCCAGCTTGGGCTTGTCCCCGTCGGCGTCGCTCAGGTCCGGGTGCGGGTTGTTCTTGTTGGGCAGCGTCTGCTCGCGGGAACCGCCGGCGGCCAGCAGCTCGCGCTCCTTCGAATTGCGCCACTTCATGCGCCTGTTCTGGAACCAAATCTTCACCTGCAACCGAACAACCCATCGTCACACATTCCCGCGTAATGTATTTAATTGGTGTTCCGGAATCGTGTATAGAGGAGCTGGTATTGAAAGGCCTCCGGGGGCGTTCGGAGCGTCATTAGTCGTTCAATGGGAGCCGGGGAACGGGAAAATTGCGGCGCATTCGGAGTCACAACTCAATAAAACAATATCCAGGAAATATGGCAAGATCGTTCGCCGAAAGGGCTCGTGTTCGTATGATGATAATTCGTTTACGACGGAAGGAGCGAGATGGAGCAAAGGGATTGAATCGGGGAACTCGAGCAGCCCGAGGGTTTTCTTATCCAATCCTTATCCAACAGGGTCGAAACAGGGGGAAACATTTTGATTCCATTTCGCGCCACCTACATCTTATGAAACCGCAAATCCAAATTAAATTGAGACCATTAAACTTTACCCAGATAAGTACAAATTTGGATACGCAATCTTATCTGAGGGTACAACCAAAAGACAACTTCTCATGGAAAAGAAAGCAATTTTCTCACTCTATTTTACACTAATATTTTAATAATCTTTCTTTGGTCATCAACTAATTGAATTGACCATAAACAAATTTGCTGGAAATGGCATCTACCATACGGAGCAGTAATTTTTCATTCGATCTCCTTCGGTTAAAATTCGACAACAAAATCTGCGAGTGAAGGAAAGAGAATTCGCCCCTGCGGTTTCGAATCGTTTACAGCGCGATAACAAATCGGCGTTTAGCGAGTCAAAGATTAGATAAAGATCGATGAAGTGCAGAGCTGGATTAAATCGGTAGCCGAAAGCGACCGCAGGCGTATCTCGGGGGGAGCGATATGCGATTTATGCCGTTCTCCTATTTATCCTCGCGGTTTTCGACGTGTGTATACAGAGCGAGGGGGCGAAAGGGGCCTTTAACGAAGCCGCTCCGTCGACGACACCACCCTTATTAGAGGGTGTTTTTACATGCCAATTACCGTGCAAACGTGAGAGTGTTTTTTAAAAATTCTTGATGTTATTAAGAGTGTTTGTTTATTAGAAAATGAAGAGGCAAATTTGCATAAAGATACGTTAAATATTGGCTATTTAGATGCAAATTAATAAGCAAAGAGAAACAATTACAACAATCAAAATAGAGTAATAAAATGTGTATATTTATGTCAGTTTGAAGACAGTCTTATTTTCCTCTTTTTCTCAATTTTTCAAGGATAAAAATTTTGTCCACTCTATAGGTACCTATAATGTTTTTACTTAGTGTAGTTTATTAAATATAATAAGAATATTCTTATGGAAGAGGTGAATTGAATCTGTTGATAATAAAAGACATTTAGAAAGAAGATTTGTGGAATTATTGAGGATTAGTTGATGTGCCGCGCGTTTTTCCATTAATTTTATGCAGCTGCGAATGATTTATTCAATACAAAGGAATGGAAAAAAACAATTACCGTTCAAGTGTGAATACAAAAACGAGATACGCCTGTATGTGTACGGGCGGCGTGCGTCTATTTATTTCCAGTTCGACGACGCCAAATTGAATTTCCCGGTTAAAAAAAAAGGAGTCACTTTTCAATAAAATTCGCCCTGCTATTCAGAGTAATTAAAAATCATTATACTTTCCAATTCCTTCTACTAATACACAAAGAAAAACCAATTATTCTTATAGCTTCCCAATTACCACCCTTCCTTTCCGTTTAACCCCAGCGAGTGTTATCAATTTTAAAACTCCTGTTAACCCGCACTATTATTTTCAAACTATATCATAATCCTTTGCGAGATCGCAAGATAAATGGTCGGATTAGGAAAGGGCGAATCAATTGCGAAAACAAAACCCCAACAAAAAAAAATATAAAGGAAACGAAGAAAAAGAAGAGGGTATACACAACGAATTTCGAGGCACGCTTCGTTTTTCTCTCTCGCACGGGGGTTGGTCGATCCGCCGACGAAAGGGTAGGGACTCGCCGAGCCCCATTGGTTCGATTTCTTACGTAATCTTCGTCTGCGGGTCCGCCTAGCTGGCTGGCGCGATTTATTTACAGGAAGGGTGGAAGAGGAAAGGTGGATGTGGCGCGTTTTCCGGCGCGGCGCGGCGCCCGGGCGGCGGGAGGGAGGCTTTTAAACGCTCGTTTAAATCAGTTCCTTTTGCGATTAAATCTAATTTAATGCCGTTTAATTATGATTGCCGTAAACTCCGGTTGTTTAACGGGGAAACTGTTCTTCCTTTTTCGCCAGTTCCCGGTCGGGTTGGATAATGAATATAATCTGGTTATTAATTTTTTTTTTGTTTATTTAGTTACTTTGAATATCTCTCTAAACTTACTCTTCTGGTAGAATGTTATTATACTGCATGTTTACATGATACTATGAAATTTTCATGATAGGATTCTATGTTAGTTCCACAAAAAGAACACAAGTCTCAAAGAACTGAAGTAAGAATAAAGTAAAAAAAATATCTCCCAAATTATTTACCTATAAATTAATAATTAAAATTTTGGTTGTAGCTGAATATACATTTTTATAAAACAAAAAACTCTATATTTATATCATCTAATTTCAAATTAGACTCAAACCAAAAAAAATGTAAGTCACTTGTACATGATTTTATTCATCCCCTAAACTCGTAGTGATCCAATTTTCGGTTTTGGTAATGTTATAAAGCATCGCAAATCGAACAAACGAGGAAATATCGGAACATCAGGAAGCGATAGGACATAAATCTTGGTCGGTTTAGTAAATATTCGCATCGGTAAACGTCGCGTTTTTAAATGGAGATGGAACTCGCCCCCTTGTTAAGCGCGCCATCAAAAACATATGTTGCAGATCTAAACGCACTGGATAATATAATGGGTTTCGGGAGCGCGGAGAGAAAAAGAGCGCTAGGGAGAGAAACAGACTTTTGACTGTAAGGGGAAAAAGGAATCTATTGCGAGTCGGTTTTCCGTTGATGTGCCATCGATCACAAACATCGGTTGCCGGCCCTCCCTTTCCTAATACAATTCTTCGATTTGTTTCTGTTATTATTATTAAGTATTATTGCTCCCTCGTCCGGACCTATTATTTGAGGAAATTCTCGTTTTAGCAAATAAACCACTCTATAAACGATGATTAGTTTGCTTTATCGTTAAAGGTCTCTCTAAAAATTCTCAAATAACTCATGCAATGATTAGAACAATTGGATCTTATAAAAATATACAGTGTGTTCCTGTGGATTGAGTTGGAGAAAAATCAAAATAGAAGCAATTTTGTGAACGTTACTAATTTCATTTATAATGTCTGTCAGTATTTCTGTTTTATTTAATTTATTAACACACTGTACATCACTGTACTTTTTCCCTCCCGTCAACTACATCCTAGGGATACCCTGTATAAACCGAACATTCGACTATTCTAATTAAATAATAAAACCGCACCTGAGAGTCTTTGAGGCCCAACTTTTCGGCGAGCTTCTTCCTATCCGGCTTCGAGATGTACTTTTGTATTTGAAACCGCCTCTCCAGCCCCTTTCGCTGTAAATCGCTGAACACGGCCCGCCTCATCATGCCCCGTCGCGGCTTTCCCCTGCCGCTGTGCGCCCATGGGAACGATCCGGGCAGCGGGAACACCGCCGATTGCGTGCCCGACACCGGAGTCGTCACTGAAAACCAAACGAATTATCCTCTATAAACCTATAACAAACTTACAGAGTCTTGTGCTATTTTGACATCCGAGCTTGCGCATTTACTGCAAAATTGACAAGTATGACGTTGGACGTACACTTCAAACGTCAAAATAGCGCGAAACGTCAAAATAGCGCTTTCTGCTGGTAGAGTTAGCGCGTAAAGTACCTGTTAAATAGGGCTGCGGTCTACAATGCGCCGCCAGCAGTAGATGGGGGTTGAAATGCGGCGGCGGCCGGCTGGCAACAGGTTTGGCTATCGACGAGGGCGAGTGATTGTTGAGATACGTCGAGAGGCCCAATAAACTCGACGCCCCTGTTCCCGTCGTCGTGCTCACGTGTACTAAATTATCTGTCGAACAAACAAACGGAAAAACAAATAAATAAACACTCGAATAACGGATGGATGGCAGCGACCGGTGAAAAAAACGGACTCGCATCACGCCGAAATGGCCAGTTTGAGGGTGTTTCCAATGTGTTGAAAAAGTGGAAAATGTAACGGTCAATTGCTATTGGTGTTTTGATTGGTTGGTGAACGGTTTTATAGGTCGTAGGTATTTCCTGATTGGGGTCTATGTGATTTTTGATACCAAGTGTACAGTAAGGAATTAAGAATAGAAGTATGATTGGATTATAGGTATCCTATAGGTACTTAAAATGTAGTTCATCCAAACGCAAAAGTTTTGTCGCAGGAACTCTATTTCCATTCTTTAATTCCATATTCTGAATGAAGATGGATGGATTGAAGAGAAGAAGACTGGGTACGATTGGGTAAAAGGTGATGGACAAGGAAAGTTGGGTAAATACTGCTCTAATTTTTAATGGCAACCAGGAAACCAGGTAATTAGGTTCTTCATAGTATTAGTAACCACGTTGAAACTGAGTTTTCCAGTCGTTTTAAAGGATCCTTATTTACAGGGTATAAGATGCCTTCAGCAATTTATTAATAAACCAAAAGAATCCCAATAGATTCAGAAAAGTCCTAAAACTTTCTATAATCTAGCGTTATATTCTACAGTTGCTTCACAGGACTTCAAATAGATGAAAATTACAATTCCCATAACAATGATGACAGTCCCAGAACGAAACGCGGAGTCCATTTTCCCCCATTCTTCTCATCGCATTTATTAACCCCGCAACTCGCGAAGTAGACACGGCGAAACCTATCGAAATTAGTGGCACAGTTACAGTTATACGCGAGGCGTCGCCGTCGTCGCCCCGGCAACGGGGGTGGCGTTTCTCTGGCCAGAGAGCGCGGGGGTGGCCGGCGGCGGGGATGCCCGTACACACTCGACGAAGGTGTTGAAGTGCGTGACGTCATTCTCTCCTCCGGCGCCGGCGACGGCTCGACTTGACGCTTTCGCCGCCGCCGCCGCCGTCGCAACAGACTCGCTAGATTTACGTGCCGCTGGAGGCGGCGGAGGTGGGAAAGCGTAAACGCCGGCGTTCGTCGTCACTAGAGGAGAGAATTACATGGTGGAGATGGTGCTGATGAAGACAATGATAAAATTATTAATTTTTTAACTAGATTTATGACACACTGTTTACTTATTTTCTGATTTAATTGGAGGATTAAGGTGAAGATGGTGATCAAAATAAAAATGTGGAAGATAAATAAATGATGATTAATTTATAATTTAAAATATTTTTGTAGGTACTTATGTATTTAGTATTACTAGCACCTACATACTATGAATACTATCCCTTTACGTTTCCCTTTAGCCTCTAGCTCCTAAAACCCCAGCTTCTCATCTTTACAATTTATTTAGAAGCTCCTAGAAGATCTAGAATATGTTCTTAGTACTTAGCTCCTAGTGTCTATAGTACATATAGCACAATCTTTATGTCCTAAACACCACTTCATAATCCTAACCCACTCATTTTGTCGATTGCACAGTCGGAAATGGTTTGAATGCAAATTTTTTTTATTATTCACTCGTTTGTCCCGATGAATTATATATTTAATTCGCTATAAACAGTAGGTGGGTGCATGAAAATTCATAAGGTCCATTCGAAGTATAACAAGGGAATTAAAATGGAACCTTTTCACTGGAGAAGGCGAAAATTTCCCTTTCAACGCGTTTCCGCGTCGTACAGGCGCGGCCCGCCTCCCTCGGGCGAGCCGGCGAAGTCGAAATAAAATCCCGCTACGGATGCAAGTCAATTTATTCCCGGGAATTTAGCATTCGGAATGGCGCGTTCGAATTAATACGTGCGAAATGCGGCGGCAGGTTTTTTCGACAGGCCGTCGGCGGATGCTGGCACCGCCGCCGCCGCCGCCGCCGCCGCGCGGGATGAAAGATTTTCGGCGTTTCCGAGGGCGAGCGGCGGGATTCCGGCCCTTAGGGCGAGCCGCTTTACGGTCGGTTACAGTGTAAGCGGCAGGGCTAAGTGCCCGTACAGCTGACGCGCGCCCTGCGTCAACCCCTTTTGCGTCCAGTGACGTCCGGATACTCCAAACTTTCACTACACCTTTACTGAAAGAATACTCCTCAATATTCAATAAACTGCGCTATCATATATCTACTATAATGTGCTAGAAATTTAGCTTAGAAGTCTTTTTTGATTGGTTTAATAAGAGTTTTTAAGATAATTTTGGTAGGGTTTTTAAATTATGTTTTTTATCTTAATAATTCGTAAATGATCTTGGTAGTGTAAGAAATGGTTCCTTAAGGTCCTTTCTACTCATAATTGAGAGTTATTTAAGATGATAAAGAACATCAGTAGGTATATATAATTTAAGAAAATTCTAAAACTTTTTTGATAAATTTTGAGTTTGTTGAGTTTTCGAATTAATATTCAAATTTAGGTAAGAATTTTAAAGAGTTTATAATAATCAATAGAGTAGGTACCTATGGAAAATTTTTCAAGAACCTACCTACTCATTTTCTGGAAACACCTTCTGGAAATATCTTCTATATAAATCTAAATCTATCTTCTATTTAGATCAATTAAATTCCCAATCAATCAATTCCATCACATAATTAAAGCACCACTTCTGGATAATTCACAACCTCACAGAAGATCAAAAATTCCTGCAATTTAATATTAAAAAAACACATTCATTGAAACGTGAACATGAATACTCCTTATTCCAAATGGACGCCAGTGAATCCTTGGACAAACACGACCCCGTTTATCGGCGAGAAGCTCCTCAGAAGGAGTCCGCCCCCGCCCGCGCGCCCGCCGCCCGCCCCTCGCCGTCTCCTCGCCCGCCGCCGTCTTAATTTTCCGATGCGGAATGTGACTTTCACGGGGATTATACGGAAGATTTACTGAGTCGGGAAGATCGATGGGTTTTCCTTTCGCGTTATGATTTACTTCGACAAGACGACGACTGCGTCATCGGGAATTAATACGTTCAGATTGCCTCGCAATGTGCCGGTGTCAATTGATTTTCTCCCGGCTTTTGCAAATTATTATGAATTATTAAGTAAATACATCGCTCATTACAGCGTTGTATGTAATGCATAGATTAAGGAGGTAAATTTATTTGGAGAGCAAGCGTTATGAAATTAATGGGATAGAAAGGCTCAATCATGATACAGTAAAGGAGAGAAATTAGCAAATGCAAATTTTAGGAGCGAATATAAAATTAAACCATCATTTAAGCTCTATATCTATACAGTTTCTTAAACTTAAACGATTCAATAAATAACAATATTTAAACCAGTCAATCAAATATGAATTAAATCTCCTTCGCAGGCCGTATTATTTTAAGAGATTTAAAATATAGAATGCCAGGAAAAAAGCCGGTCCGTGTTTTCCTAACACCTTATCAAAACATCCCATTATACAGGCTATCTATTAACAATGCTCAACAAAGCGTCGTATTGCATTCACAACGGTGCTTTTTTAACCTCTAATCCCCCTTTCATAATTCGGTGTATTTATAGTGAGGATTTAAGGAAGGCCCACTTATTATTATTTTATTATATACACGCATATATACATTGTGTTGTTCTTTTATCGAAGCAATAAATTCTACTGTGTTATTCGATAATACAGAACACGAATGTCGGGTGTTTTTTTTACTAAGGTCCTGTGTATTTTTTTATTTTGAATCCCCTTGGTGGAAATAACGAAAGATGAATGGGGAACGATGGGCGTGCATATTGAAACGGCTTATTTTTGGGATTTGATGGGAATTATTAGTATACTATCGGGTTTGTGAATTGTTATCTTAGTACATGTTTGATTTCTTTGTTGTTAATTTGTTGCAATTTTTGTTTTGATTTCCTACTGGTCTTATTAGAAATTTAAACTCAAACAATGAAGAATTGCGTATGTTACCTGTAGTGTTAAATTTACCAATTTTTGTTCACCATTATTGAGGGAATAGAAAAAATTGGTGTAAAAGTGTAAGGATAAATAGTCAATAAATCCGAGAAAACGGCCCATCTTAAGAAATCGATGTCATTTCTCATGGACTATTAGAAACTGATTCTGCATAAGAAGCTACTTAAGATTCATACAGGGTGTCCCAATAAAAAGTAGCCCCTTTAATGAGCTTGTAATTTTTAAACGCCTAATCATAAAAACATGCGGTTTACTCAAATATGTTTTATTGTATTATAAGTTTTGTTACAGTGATACAGAAATTATTCATTAACAATAAAGGGTGTTTCATCAAAACCTCCTCTTTTAAATTCACAGTAACCAAATTAATTTAAATGGAACATCCCGTATATACAGAGGTATTTTAAAAGATACACTCTTCTACTTTTCAAAAATATATTATTTGTAGATGTTATTCTACAAAATAAGATGTCCTATTTCATAAAATTTAGTTATTGTGAATTTAAAAGAGGGGTTTTTTATGAAACATCCTGTGCAGGCGATACAAAATTTTTGTCTCACTGCAACAAAAAGTTATAGCAAAATAAAATATATCTGTCAAAACCGCATGTTTTTATCATTAGGCATTTAAAAAATATTAGCCCACTAAAGAGGCTACTTTTCATTGGGAGACCTTGTAATATACAGTACTGAATATGTCTCCTGGATAAGCCGGATCTTTTGGTAAATACTTTGTCCAATCCAGAAACATCTGGATTACATTGAAAAATATAGTTATTACTGAATCACTGTGAAAAAGCTATTTTTCAATTCACCCTTAAAAATAATCTTGGATATTAATTGTGTTCAAGAAAAAATACTATTAATTACTATTATAAGAAAATATTATAGAAATACTATTATGGTTCTTTTACTGTAGTTACTCAATATTTTTAAGCTTATAATTATTATTGAAAATAGATGATTAAATTAAATTTAAAAAAATCAAATTAATTGGTACAAAAATGAAGCACTTAATCCAAGCGTTAGTTTACTTATTGTTAAAATTGAGGCTGGAAATTATTTAATAGCTATCACAAACTTCAAAAAATCCAATCCAAATAAGTATTCTTATTGCTAAACTTAAGACTAGAAATTACTTAATTGCTGTCGCAATTTCATTGCTGGAACCTGCGACAAATTCTTACCATTATTGTTATTGTTATTGTTACTTTGTTGCAGTTTTTCATCCCCCAAAATAGCACTGACACTAAACTTAAGTACCGGCTTGTTGTCCTTAACACTCTCACTCAGCCTGCAATGTATAAAGTTGCAGTCCAATCGGCCGCAATTCGAACATATCCTATTCCTCAAGCAGGTGTTGAACCTGAGAAAAACGTCGCCGGCGCGGTCCGCCTGCAAGCCCCCCACGGGTATGGGCGACAGCCTGTCGTCCTCCTCCTCCATCTTGGAGGCCTTGTACTCCTCGGAGTCCTTGCTAGCGTCCGGGTTCTCGTTGGACAGGAGGTTCTCCATCGAGAAATTGGTCTGGTGGTTGAAGCTCTTCAGCATCTTCTCGCGGTGCGTGCTCAGGAATTGCAACGTGCTTTGGTACATCGTCGCTGTCGCAAATTAAACGTGCATGTCGGGCGGAATTGGAGTGAGCACGTGACGCGCGATATGCAGGGGATGTTAGGATCGCGTCGAACGCGCCGCTATAGAAGTATCCCGATGGACTGATGCGATATTTCAGCGGCGAAAGCCACCCTTAGAACGGGAAAAGAGGGCCGGGCCTCGCCGGAGCCGAGGGGTGGAGTTTTCTTTATATTTCGATTCGATTGTGCCGGCGCCCTTAAATTGCACTTTTGTGCCGGAACGTCGCCGATCGTTCTTGAATAAATATTATATTGGAAAATGTAACGTAATAACCGACTCCGATTTCGGGTGTACTTTTTCGAGAATTTCGATTTATGGTCGCTCACGGTTTATCGGTAATTTTCGGTTTTATTATTCGAACGGAATGGAGAGGGTAATTTCTTGCTCTTCTGGATTTTAGTGCCCGATTAAAAAATCAAGCGGGGGAGATATTTTATTGCTTTCGAATCGGGTTTGTTTTACGACTTTTCCAATGATTTTTGTGGATAGAATTACTTATTAAATCTCCATATCTAAATAACTGTATTTCTAATTTTTCTAGCTTCAGCACTTTAAATTTAGCGTATTTTAAGAAGTTCAATATAATCGAAATATTTATTGATTATTAGGTACCTATTTCATAAAAAAAATTATATATAATTGATATTTTTGTAGACCATAAATGTTTTGTAACGAAATAATTAAACTAATGAATTAAACATTGATTAGTACTCAAAATAAAGATAAATAAAACATCAGTAATAAAAATGTTTTAGAGATGTTGAACGACGCAGAAGGATTTTCCGCGGCCCAAGGGCTCGCTCCAAATAAAAAAAAATCCAAGGCGGGAGCGAGAGAGATGGACCAAGGACCTTCATTGCGGGTAGTAGGGGCCATAAAACTCGCATATAAAAAAAAAGAAAAAAACAAAAACATAAGAGAGCACATTTTACAAAAGGCGTGCCGACCGAATAATCTATTTTGATTGGTTCGCATCTCTCCATCCCCACCGCTCTCTCTAAAGACTTGCAGTAAATCAATGATTTTTTTATAATCCCGGGAAAATGAATTTTATTTTTACTTGCAGTTAGCGAGCACGCGGACGTCCGCTCATTCCACAGGGTTTTTCCCGATAAAAGTCCTGCGGGAGTACTATCAGGGAAGTACTCGATACTCGGGTTAATGATTAGACTATATCTAATACACAATTGAGCTTTAATTTAATTCATTACATTTGCAAAAAAATTCAAAAGTGTTTGAAATTGTTTCATTTATTATTTCATGTTTTTTATCACGAATCTCTAAGCGTTTTCGATGTTTTCACATGAATTTTTCCTATTTCTTCTCTTTTATTCCCCCTTTTAATTTCAAAATCTAGAAATTTTCTTCAAAGTTCTTCGCTGGAAATATTTCTATTTGTTCTGTTCATTGATTTCTGTTGATAAGCATAAAATTTTTAGTTTTACTTTATGACTGTAACATAATGTTGAATGGGTGTTTTCTAAACATCTAGTCGAATTTGCGTGCATTTTTTCAGGAACGTATTTTTACTTGGTTATTTCGACCGTTTTATCCGATCCATGTAAGCAAATTGGAAATTAGTCAGCCGTTATAATGGCCGGCCTCTGGATTTGATTTAATTTATAATCGAGCAAAAGGGGAGAAAATTTAATTTTTTAATCAACACTCCACTCCGCACTAAACTGCACTTAAATTATTAATGGAATATAGTTTTTTGTTTTCGGTCGGTCGCTGTTTTTATTAAGTATTTCTCGTTAATTTTTTTTCTTTGGATTTTCCATGGAAATTCCGCGTTTTCTCTGCGATTTTTTTGCAGGCGTGCTCGTGATGTTTAGGAATTTATTTTGTTCGGACGACTCTCGATTTTGCTTAAAATCCCGGAAAATGTTAAATAAATTCAACTGTGCAGGATTTGCTACGGACGCGGTCCGTATACTTCACGAAAATCCTGCAGTAAACGTCACAAATAAGTATAATAAAAAATAAATTACTGATGGCTATTAATCATTGAAAGTCAACTATACAATTTACTTGAAGCATTTATTTTTTATCAATAAAGAATTTCTCCTAGGGGAATAATAAAAAATGAATTGTATAGAGCAAGTTAAAAAAATATTTCAACAAATTTGTTTAACTTTAAAATGTTAATGTCTAAATTGGTTAAAAAATGTTCAAAATTTTATTACACTTTGTTCGTATGTATGTAATTAAATAGCACTCTATTCATTGACGCATACACTTGGAAAAAAAACGGGCACATGTCGGATTCGACAGCACCGAATTACCCATTCAAATTTCGCATTAATGCAAATACGTATCGATACGAAATTCGCCCTTAAACAAAATATGTTTTGCGGTTCGTAATGTTTAAATAAAAAAAAGGGGGTAGTTCAGAGGCCGCGCATCCGGTGTATGCAGATTACACTTCGAATCATTGGCGTTTCGAACCAAATTATACCTTCTTAAATCCTGTCATTTCGAATACATAGACATATTTTTAGGTTGTATAGACGCAATCAAATGTTTGCTATATTAGGTGATGCAAATTGTATTTGAGTATGTAGCATATTGTGTAATGATATCATAAGATAATTAATAAAGAATAAACCCGATCATTAGGGATAATTTAGGATAATAATAAGTTAATATAAAAAAGAGGTGCGCCAGTGGTCGGGTGTAAACAAACGTCCAAAGGGTAAATATTGTGACAAGAACCAAAAGCGAAGGGCACACAGCAAATCGCGCGATGTACCATTTACCGACGATTCGATTAACATATTTGCATATACATATCGATATAACAAAAGACAACACGATAGAGGCAATTCAGAATAAACATTTACATTAGGAAATGTTTGCATAAAATCCGGCGTCGGTAGGTAGGTATAATATGTGTAGTTGGCCGGATTCGACGGCCGGTTTTAGAAAATACAATTTCGAAATTTCAGGGGACGAATTTGAATTTTTTTTCTGTGCGAGTGTACCAAATTTATTCGGGAATGTAACATACAAATAAGTTGGTGGGTAACTGGAGTTCGATTGTTGATGGAAAAATTTGTAATTTGGACAGTTTGGAATAACATGCGATTTTTATGCTTGTACAGTTTGTACTCACTCGATTTAATATTATAAATACCAGATAATTGCAACTAAATGAAACTTTGTTTGAGAAGAATTTGATGAAATTTTTAGTACCTAGTTCACAAGAAAGACTAAATTTTAAAATTAAGAGATCAGTATTTTTTATTTTGGATAAGTGATCTGCCCTATCCGAGTAATACAGCTACCAGAAATTCTTCCCTGTTTCCTCTGTATCTGTTTCTTAGCACAATATATTTTTCAAAGAAAATTCAATATGCAATAAATAACGCCCTGCAACAATATCTTAAACCCGTTTTCGATTGCACATAAGGCACGCACGGGACACGGCGAATAGGCGTCTATAATTCATCGGATCCCATGCACTTGCGAACGCCGATATATCACTTTTAGTTATGACTTTCTGTTGCGTCGTAAATTTTAAAATTAACCCCTTTCGCCCCCCGTTTCACCCTCATCGAACGTCAGAAACTTATAAGTCACCCCTTTCTGTTCGAATCAATTCCTCTTCGATAAATATTGATTTACGAACTAATAGCTGTGAAAAATCGAGTATTTTATTTAGCTATAATGCGTGTCGTAAATTAAATGTTACAATAAAATATTCGCAGAGCGTGTGAGGGTTGAAAATCGGCGATTTATTTATAACGTTTTCTCTTCTTATTACTATACCTAAGGCGTTTACTATTTTTTAGCATTTTTATTTGTTACTAGGTGTGTTTCGGAAATTTCTATAGGCGAAATATTATATTAGATTCTCTATTTAGGCGGACAAAGTGAGAACAAATAACGAAACTCGAACACGTCGAGCACACCAAGCGATATAATAGAATGAACGCAGCCAATACAGCATTATAAGAAAAACCGGGGAGAAAATTGTTCTCTCCCGTTTGTATACAAAGATTACATTTTCGTCCGGCGAACGTCCGATAGAGCAAGTGCATTTGACGGTGTTATTTTTCACTTTGATATTTTGACGGGGGCGTAAAAGTGACCGAAAGGAAAAAAACCACGTCCCTTTTGTTGCGCTTCGGGTTATTTCGGTATTTCGGGCGACGGATAAATAAAAACGAGGCGAAAGGAATTATTAAGCGAGTAAAACGTAATTCGATAACTTCCAATTTAATCGAAGGACGGGGCGAGACGAGCCCCCCGGTATTCGATGATCCATTTGTAACGTTATACTGCTGAAAGCGCGTCTCAAAATATTTGCAGATACTTGGGGATTTCGCGAAACATATGTCGGCAAATATTTGGATTTTTCGTGCAGTAGAGGATTGATTTTTCTGTAGATATGTGCCTACCTACGATATTTCTCACACGGTCTTCCAATAACGTTTATTACATATATTGCATATTTTTGCAACATTCTACAAAAATTTAATACCTACATGAAACATATCAAATATCGTAGAAATAATGTGAATAATTAGGAATTCTAAATTACACTATTCGTTTTATTCAATCCCAGATGGACAATTCGCACAAAAAAACCATCCAAATTTTCGCTCGAATTAACTTTACACTTTCGTTCAGCAATATAAAGAAAACGATTTGTCATTTTTTTAAAACCAGATTGAGAATACCATTTTCAACGCTCCAATTTTTTACAGTGCACTATTAAATGTAACCATCATCCGGGGTGGTCTCTAATCAACCCCTAGAGGGTTAAAAATTCTCAAAAGGTTTTATGGGGGCTTGTTAAGAGCGATTAAGGTTCTCTCTTTTTTTCTATTTGTTTGATAAATAGTTTGTTTTGTAAGTTCCTTTGTGCTGCTATAGCACACAATGGGCTCGGTCGGTGAGCGATTTCGATCTTGGGAAAGCGTGAAACACAAATTGTTAAGTGTTAATAATTTTCGGAAATTTTGTTATTAATTTTCGTTACCATTCTCTACATGAATGGGTTCTTTACCACATTGAGAGTATGGATCATTTTCGGTTTGGCTCCAGGGGAATCAAATTTTAAGTTAGCT